AAAGAAGATATACAATCGGCCAATAAGCACATGAAAAGATGTTCAGCCTCATTGTCATTAGTGAAATGCTACTCAAGACCACAATGAAATACATTTATGCCCACCAAGACGGCTTGGACAAATACAGGTGTTGCCAAGAACACGGCAAAATTAGAACACTTATACACTGCTGGTAAGAATATAAAAATGGGGCAGTCACTTTGGAAAAGAGTTTGATAGTTCATCAAAAAGTTAAATAAAGAGTTACCATATGACCCAACAATTAAACTCTTCAGTATACCTAGAAGAGAACTGAAAACATACATATATTCACACAAAAACTTGTACACCAATGTTCATAGCAGCATTGTTTATAATAGCCAAAAATTGGGAACAATCCAAATGTCCATCAACTTATGAATGGATAAACAAAATATGGTACATCATAACAATGAGATATTATTTAGCCATAGGAAAGAATGAAGTTTTTATTGAATGCTCTGATGTTGTTTTTTTAAAAAAAGTGATGAAGTACTGATACATGATACAACATGAATAAACCTTGAAAACATGCTAAGTGAAAAAGCCAGACACAAAAGGTCACATATTATATGATTCCATTTATAAGAAATTGTCCAGAATAGGCAAATCCATAGATACAGAAAGCAGATTAGTGACTGCCAGCAGATGGGGGCAGGGGCAATAGAAAATAACAGCGAAATGGGTACATGGTTTCTTTTTAGGACTATGAAAATGTTTTGGAATTAAACAGTGACAAGGGAGATGGCTGCACACCTTGGTAATATAATTAAAAAACCATTCAACTGTACACTTTAAAAGGATAAATTTTACGGTATGTGAATTGTACCTCAATTTTTAAAAACTAAGGGTGAGTGGGGTCTGTAAGAATGTACTCCAAAATCTTAACAGTGATTCCCCTTTGGGAGGGAGATGGAATTAGGTGGTAGAAAGTGGCAGAGATTAAGTGAGACTTTTGATTTTTACTTGATATGCTTTAAATTTGTTTATTTTAAGCCTATGATTTTTTAATAGAAAAAAATAGAGAATATAGAAATATTTAGCAAAATTTGAGAGTTAGAAATATTCTAAATCCAAAAGATACAGAAGGAACAACTATGATGTAAAGGAAGGATTTTCAATTTATAAAATTTTGGTTTTAGCAGTGGAACTCTTTTGAAAAAGGAAATCTACAAATATGCAAGACATAAGAGATACAAGCAGAGTTACTTTGGTTGAAGGGAAATAAGGTATGTGTGAAGCCCACCCATTTTATCCCCTCTCCAACAGTTCCTCAAAGTATCCAATTACATAAACCTAGAAATATTTTACAGAAAATCAGTTGGCTGCTTAAAAAAAAACAATTAGGCCGGGGGCGGTGGCTCACGCCTGTAAGCCTAGCACTCTGGGAGGCCAAGGCGGGCGGATTGTTTTGAGCTCAGGAGTTCGAAACCAGCCTGAGCAAGAGCGAGACCCTGTCTCTACTAAAAATAGAAAAAAATTAATCGGACAACTAAAAATATATAGAAAAAAATTAGCCGGGCATGGTGGCACATGCCTGTAGTCCCAGCTACTCGGGAGGCTGAGGCAGGATTGCTTGAGCCCAGGAGTTTGAGGTTGCTGTGAGCTAGGCTGATGCCACGGCACTCACTCTAGCCCGGGCAAAAGAGTGAGACTCTGTCTCAAAAAAAAAAAAAACAAAGGCCAGGTGAGGTGGCTCACGCCTGTAATCGTAGCACTTTGGGAGGCCAAGGTGGGAGGATCATTTGAGACCAGGAGTCAGAAACCAGCCTGAGCAAAAGCGAGACCCCCACCTCTACAAAAAATAGAAAAATTAGCTGGGCGTTGTGGCCTGTGCCTCTAGTCCCAGCTACTCAGGAGGCTGAGGCAGGAGGATCGCTTGAGTCCAGGAGTTGGAGGCTGCAGTGGGCTATGATGATGCCACTGCACTCTACCTGGGGCAACACAGCAAGACTCTGTCTCAAAAAATAAAAAACAAAACAAAACAAAAATTAAAAAACATTTTATCTTCTCTAATTTTATGGCATTTTCTTTCTACCATTTTCTCAGCAATTAACTATATCTGATAACATTTTCCCTGGTGTTATTTAACAATTTTTGCTAATAACTCCTTATGTGTTGATTCTCCAACTGGATTACTCCCCTTTAACACTTACTATTCTTCTATAATGTTGAATTATTTTCTTAAACCTCTTATGCCTAAAGATATAAAATGAGACTCAGAAAGATCCAGCCTAAATACTTTCCTATATTTTGGCAAGTACTAAATATACAGTCCCAAATATACATGAATATAGTTATTAAAAACAACCAGTTAGGGTACAAATAACATTCTTTAACTATTAAATGAAAAATCCATACTGCACTCATCTTTTAGTGTTTATTGTTGTTATACTCCAACATATTTATGTTAAACTAGAATATCTACAATTATATTTCTTTCATTTGAATACCTTATCAACGTATACGGGATAATCCCTTGAAACCAGATTCTGGCATCTTTCTCGATTTCCAATCACCTTTCTGAATTCAAAGAGTCTATTATGGGAAAGAAGACAAAAAGGAAAATGATTCACCTTTTATATCACTTGTTATACCCATTACAATTGAGACTGATGAATAGTAACTAAAAATTAGCAAATCCAGTTCATAAGCCATATTATTAAAATTTCATTGTGATAATTAAAGATTAGGTTGTTGGTTTTTGTCAAACTGGACACTTTTCTCAGAAAAATGTGAGAAACAACATTGTTCAGAAAGTAATTAACACATAGAAGACCTAAAGGTACCTGTTGCGCTATAGGAAAGTCCCCTATAATATAGAGACAGAAATGATTTCAGGAGTTTTGCAGGGCAGAAATAATTTGAACGTGTTAGTTCACATATCAAAAGCTGCCTCACCTCAGGAGGGCATCTCACAGATCAGCAGCGCTTTCCATGGTGACGCTGGCTGTCTCAGACCTGTCGGTTTGCACCTTGCTTCTGTACGACAAAGCTTGGTATGGAGCCATGGGATAAGAACTGATCAAAGACAGACACCTGCGGCTAAAAGCAATTAGCCTAAGGGACAGTTCCTGCTTCACTCCTAACTACCTGTCTCAATCAACAAAAACTAGATAAAGAAATGTAGAGCCATATTTCTGTTTAACCTTTCTGCTAAGTGATAGCTTTATCTTAGAACTTAGAAGTTTGTCTTAGAAAGATTTTGTAACTGTTTGCTCACACAGATAGAGTTAATTAAAGGATCTCTAGAAGCTTTTTGGGAGACTTTTAACCGTAAAACGAACTATCTGTTATTATGTAAATCTGTTACCCCTGGCAACCAATCACTGTACCAATAAATACTGTTGTGAAACTTCACTCGTAGCCTCACAGCTCACGGGAATGCTGGAGGTCTCCCAATCCCCCAACTATTATAAAATGTATACTTTATAAAACTGTACTTTTGTCTCTGTGTATTCTTTTATTTCTATATTCTGTTATTTTCTATTTTCTATTATTTCCTTATCTCTTGGGATGACCCCTGCCCAAGGGACCTGATTTTTGCTGGAAACATAGCTAACTCCCCACAGTACCAATCCTGAAAATTCATTTTCTTAAATCTAGATTTTTCTATGATCTACGGTGTATTCCAGTTTTATAGCCACAAATTCAGGTTACCCAAGAAAACTCAATCCCTGGAAACTACATACAACTTTAATCAGGTTAATAATATTGAAGTTTAAAATCTAGTTTATGTTTCTGAGAGCGCTTTATGTTAAAACCTGAATTTTTATAGTAGTTCAATTTATGATGACATGGGCTAAAAATTAAGAGAAATAACTAAAAAGACTAAAGCAAAAAAATTATTTTTTATATAGTTTAATGTTTAATTTGCTGGACAATCACTCTATATTTGAGAGTAGAGGATTTTATAACTGAAATAAAATTTTGATATCTATTAAAAACAAATTCTGGAAAAGTTTTTATGAAAAATATGCTTACCTTTTGAGATCTTCTGGCCTTCCCCATCCTCTGATAAAAAGTTTTGTGAAGAGAAGTCTCCGATATATAATATCTAACTTGCTTATACCCATTAGTAGCAAACAAGCATCTGTGAAAAGAAAATTTAAAATGACTTTAAAATATTTTATTTTTTATCAAGGTGGCAGGTCAATTTTCTAACCATTTCTTTGAATATCAGGTAAAATTAAAGACAGTAAATCCTTGAATTTCTTCCTTTGGCAACAAGATACAAGATTTAGGAAAAAAAAGAACCCAGGCGAAAGTAGAGAAGATGTACAGCCCTGAGCTCCACTACATTGTGAATTCCTCTAAGGTAGGATCTTTCCATCCTCAATACAGTGACTAATATAAGTACCCAATATTTATTGGGTAACAATAGTAGGGGGATAATATTTATGAAGTACTATATCATCTGCCAGACACTATTTTAAAAAGTACAAACATATATCTATACTCTATCTCCCTCTCTCATTTAAACCTGCCAACAACTTTGAGGACAGATCTATTATCCCAGTGAAAATACAAGAAAAATGTGGCACAGAGAGGATAGATGATTTATAGTAGGTCACACAGCTAGTGGGAAACAGAGCTAAGATTCAATCCCGGGCACACAGCTCAAAACCTAACTACTATACTACACTGCTTATCCACCACACTATATGAATGAAAAATATTAATGAGTCACTGCTACTGCTTGTGTACCATTTCTCTATCTTTTTCAGATATTTCTAAAGACTTTTAAATATCTACCTCCATCTTTTCACTCAACTGATAGAAATGCAAATTTCCACTTTTTCCGTTTATCTACATAGAGTAAACCCTGAACCTGAATCAGGTTTTGCTCACAAGTCAAAAATAATTTGAAAAGATGGGATTGAATCTTAACTCTGTTTTCCACTACCTGTGTAACCTTGGGTAAATCTCTGGCACTCCTGACTGAAAGTTGAGGAAATCTGTGCACTTCACTACTTTCCATCTTTTCTCTCTGTTATGCTTCTAACTCTTGTAAATTATATCAATTCTATATTGTCAGAGTTTATATTCATATTCTTAGTCCTAGAGATAGTAGGATATTCAATGATCATTACCAATCCTTTTGCAGTAATTTATAAAATAGAAAATAAACAAAGAAAATCTATGAGAACCCAAAATAATTCCTTAAGAACAATAGTAATAGACATTTCAGATGGGTTTATAGCAAGAATGAAACTTACTACATTAACTAAATTAGAAAAAAGACATATCTCAGACATGTAAACAAAAAAATAGAGAATATTTGAAAAAATACAGCATCCAGAACTAATTATAAAGAAAAAAACCCTAGGAATATAAGGAAACACCCTTAAATTTACAGAGGATAACATCATATTTGGGTACATTTTCTCAGGACCTCTTGAGGCCATGTGCTTTGGGCTGTAGGTTACAGACATTCAGCTTAGAATAAACCTCTTTAAATGTTAAATTTTACATATATATATTTTATATATACAAAAAATCATATTTAATGATAAAACTTTAGACACATTCCCTTTAAAGTGAGGAATAAGAATGTCTGCTATTGTCATTTCCATTCTAAAATAGTACAGGATATCCTAAGCAGATGAAAAATAAAAACAAAAAGGTTTAAAGATTAGAAACAGGAAACCGGGTACGGTGGTGTGTGCCTGTAATCCTAGCTACTTGGGAGGCTTGAGGCAGAAGGATCACTTGCGCCCAGGAGTTTGAGGGCAGACTAGGTAGCATGGTAAGACCCCATTTCTAAAAAAAACACATGGGGGGAGAAAACTTGTCATTACATACAAAGGATATGACTATTACATAGAAAATCCAAGAGTCAAAAAGTATTATAATTTATTAGTTATTACTAAGTTCAGTAAAAGGTACCAAGGCAAGTGGTTATCCATGTGAAAAAAAAATTAAATCCTTACACCTTATACAAAATACACAAAAATTCCATATGATTAGAGAGCTAAATGTAAAAAGCAAAACTATAAACTTTCAGAACACAGAAAAGACTCAGAGAAAATACAGCAAATATTCCAAGACTTTAATGATTCAATACTTATTGAAGATGAGCTCCATTAAGAAAATAAAAAAGAGAAGCCAAAGACTGTGAGAAAATATTTGCAAAATACATATGTGATAAAGGACTTGTATCCAAAATATACAAAGATTCTTAAACTCGACATTAAGAAAGCAAACCCCATTAAAAAAAAATAAGCAAAAGATCTGGCCTCACCAAAGAAGATATACAGATGATAAATAAGCATTTGAAAAAATGCTCATTATCTTATGTCATTAGGTAATTGCAAATTAAAATAATGAGATACAACATGCCTATTAAAATGATAAAAATCTAAAAAAACTGACAATACCAAATACTGGTGAGGACATGGAGCAACAGAAACCCTCTCATTCATTGCTGGTGGTAATGCAAAATGGCAGTGACCTTGGAAAACAGTTTAGCAGTTTCTTACAATGCTAAACATAGTCTTACCACACAATCTAACAATCACACTGCTAGGTATTTGCCCAAATGAGGTGAGAGCTTATATCCACTGAAAAACCTGCACATGAATGTTTATGGCAGCTTTATTCATAATTGCTGAAAACTAGAAGCAAACAGGCATCCTTCAATAGGAGAATAGATAAACAAACTGGTATATCCACACAATGGAATATTATTAGGAGATAAAAAGAAAAGCTAAGCCAGGCATGGTGATGCACAGCTGTAGTCCCAACTACTCAGAGGCAAGAAGATCGCTTGAGCCCCAGAGTTTGAGTCCAGCCTGGGCAACATAGTGAGGCCTTGTCTCTTAAAGAAAAAAAGGTAAATGAGCCATCAAACCACCAAAAGACATGGAGGAACCTGAAATGCATATTTCTTAGTGGAAGAAGACAGTCTGAAAATGCTACATGCAGTGTAATTCCAATTATTTATATATAACATTCTGGGAAAGGCTAAACTATGGAGACAGTAAAAAGACCAGTGGTTGTCAGAGCTTCAGGGAGAAGGGAGGAGGGATAAATAGGTAAAGCACAGAGGACTTTTAGGGTAGTGAAACTATCCTGTATCATAATTGTAAATACTTGATATTATGCATTTGTCAGAACCCACAGAACTGTACAACATAAAGAATTAATCCTAATATAAATTAGACTTTAGTTACTCATAATGTATTAACATTGAGTTCATCAACAGTAACAAATGTACCACAAATGTTAATAATAGGGGAAATTGTGAAGTAAATGGGAAAAGGGGAATGTGGGAACTCTGTATTAACTGCCCAAGTTTTCTGTAAACTTAAAACTGTTATAAATAATAAAGACTATTAATTTTAAAAAGGTCTAAAAGATGATTTCCTTTAAGGTTTTTAAGACTAGTTCTAAAGTACCATTACATGTGAACAAATTCCATGAGGATTCCACACACAGCTTCTGCTACCATTATTGATTGATTGTATCAAGATATTATCATTGTACTGTAGCAATAATAGTACATCAATATTGTTGAATCTATCAAATATTAATCATACAGAAAGAATTCTACAGATTTTATTTCAATTTATTGTAGTTTATAGGAGGAAAATCATTTAAAAGAGGACATAAGCAAAAATAAATTTGAAAAATTTGTACATAACTCATTTATTTGCCACTTTGAAAAAAATATTTGAAAATTCTTCTAAAACATCCTAGTACTCTGGGAGGCCAAGGCAGGAGGATTGCTTGAGGTCAGGAGTTCAAGACTGGCCTGACCAAGAGTGAGACTTCATCTCTACTAAAAATAGAAAGAAATAAGCTGGGTAACTAAAAACAGAAAAAATTAGCCAGCCATGGTGAAAATGACTATAGTCTCAGCTACCCGGGAGGCTGAGGCAGGAGGATCACTTGAGCCAGGGAGTTTGGGGTTACAGTGACCTATGATGACACCACTGCACTCCAGCCAGAGTGAAAAAGCCAGACTAAATCCCCCCCAAAAAATGTGCAAATCATAAGTATAATTTGATTCATTCTTAAAAAGTGAACAATAATGGCATTTATGTGATATGATGGTTACAGTTAAAGGTGCTGGCAAGGAACAAGAAAGGCCTCATAGAAAAATCAAAATTTTACCTGAGTCTTTAGAGATTAATAAGGCAGACAGAAGATAAGCAAACACAAAGATGTGAAAAAATGTGTCATGCAGAAATAGTGTAAAGGGTCTGGCAAACAAGGTGTCAAACTAGAAATAAATATATATTCTATAGTGTTAGGATTTTAAGTCTTCATCAGATTTATAGCCAAAACTTTTTTACCATTCCATTAATTATTAAAATTAGGTTTACATGCATTCTACAAACTTTACTAAATGTTTACATAATCAACCAATCCATGTCATAACATCCAATAGAACTCCTCAACACACTGCATAAGGGTACAAATTCAATTCTTTAAAAACGTTAAATTGCGGGCAGGAGGGGGAGCTCCAATATGGCAAACCAGACACACCACCACCCAGAGCATCTTGGTAAGAAGGAGAAGTTTTAGATGAAAGAAGAAAAACAGACAGAGAAACACAGATTGGATGAGGGTTGGAAGGAATGGTGCCAGAACCTTCAGGAGACTCCACGGGAAGAGGTTGCAGAGCAGAACTGGAAGGAGAAAGGTATTGGTGGAGATCAACCCCCAAGAGGCTTTAAGTGTCCACCAACAGATGAAAGGATAAGCAAAATGTAGTGTATATTATACACACATCCACACACATGCATATACATACACACACACACAGTGGAATATTATTTGGTCATAAAAAGGAAGGAAATTCCGGCAAATGCTACACAACATGGATGAACTCAGAGGGCATTATACTAAGTGAAATAAGCCAGTCATAAAAAGACAAATACTTTATGATTCCATTAATATGAGATACCTAGAGTGTCAGATTCATAGAGATAGGAAGCAGAATGATGGTTACCAGGCACTGGAAATAAGGGGAAATGGAGAGGTTGGTTATTGTTTAATGGGTATAAAGTTTTGCTTTGTAAGATGAAAACTGGACATGGATGTGGTGATGACTGTACAACAACAGTATGAATGTACTTAATACCA